TTTCATCGTTACATTTTTCGCTCATATACGTTTGTTTTAAAGTCGCCCTTTTATAATGCTCAAGGGAACGATTGTTAACCCTCGCCCATGTAGGGGGGGGGGAGGGTTGGTGCAACCCCCCCCCCCCCCTGAGGCTTTTCGGAAATAGTGCAAAAACGGCGGCGCTGCCAAATTTTGGGTACCTTATGGGGCAAACCTTGCGCATCTTTTGATAAAAAAAAATTGACCGGGTCATGTCAGGTCACGGAGTTATGACGTCACAAAGGGAACAGCCTCCGGCCGGATTTTCACAAACTGAGTGCCAACGCCCGAGGTTTCCTGCCGGTGGTACGGACATCGGTTGATGGATCGTGATGAAACTTCCCATGCATGTTAGGGCAAGTATTGGCTATCATATGGTATAAGAAACTTGACCGGGTCAGGTCAGGTCACGGAGCTATGACGTCACAAGAGGAACAGCGTCCGGTACTATTTTTGAAAAGCGCCCGAACCACTATTTTGCTAATTCTTGTCACCTCAATGGGAATATGCAGCAATATTAGCTTCTGTAGGGAGCAAATGGACCTCCCAAATCCAAAAATACAATCAGATTTCAAAAATTAAAATTTTGATTTTTCGAATTTTTGCCGCCGACTGTGACCTTGCCGACTTCCGGCGCTCCCAACGCGCCATTTTTAGAGCTAGGGAAACAAAATACATACCAAACGATAGAGAATTGATCAAGGAACACGATAGTGAAGGTTTCAAGTCGATATCTCCCACCGTTTTGCCGCAATCGCCGCGGAAAGTTGAAAAAGTCTATTTTTCCGAAAATTTGACCTTTGACCGGTCAAAAGTAGGTCAAATGTTGACCTAGGACCAAAAAATATACCACCAATCGCGAGATCTCGGCGAGAGCAATCCGTTGGTCTTTTCCGCTAAGCTCTACGACGCTCCGTTTTCAAACGCCAAGGGGGGTCGCACCAACCCCCCCCCCCCCTCTTGCATGGGCGAAGGTGGCAGATAGCCGTTTACGGGCGAGGGTTAAAATGGACCCGTCGAATCGATGTCATATAATCAGATCTAGTAGTCGGTTTCCACTAAAGCTGAATTCCTTACCGGCGACGGGTGTTAGAATGGCTCATAAATGAAATATTTGGCACGCCTATATCATTGGCCTGGATTTCGTTTATATTTTTAATTTGATTAATTTGGGAACACGATTTGCTACACCGTATACCTTCTAAAGCTGAAGCCCAGAATTTCCTCATGGAGTGGTCTCGCTTGCGTAAAATGGTCATTGTACGACACAAGAAATAGCTCTGGAATGTCGGGTTAGCCTCGATTGAGTGGGCTGGCTTGGAACTTTGTATGTAATATGTATATTTTATGCTGTATAGCATAAGAAAATTACAAGCCACCCAAGAGCTTACTGCCAGACATAGTGATAACATGTGAGATTAGACGATGGTAATTCTTAAATGTGAATGGAATGCTTGCAACACCTTCCCAAGTCTAGTGATATTTCCTGTGCCCATGACATCCCCTCACTCTCCGCTGCCACTCTATCGCACATCTGGGACGTCGGCCGCCGGCCACGCCTTTCGCACGTCGCGGCCTTTTGCAGCCGTGGCGCCGTTCGCACTCTCCGTCAGCCTTTCACGCCGCCCGGGCGTCCTTTCACAGCGGCGGTCGCCGGCCGGCCGACCGCCGCGCCGCCGGGACGGCTGCTATTCAGAAGGACCGGTGCCGGGCGGCGTTTTTGCCCATCGCTCTCGGGCGATGGCATGATGAGAAGTGTGCTGGTCGTGTGGCTGCGGCCCCGGACGGCGGCCGTACGCCATCCCTGGTGGGCCGTGCGCGCCGTCTGCCCAAGACGGATCGGGCGCGGCGCACCGCCTCTGCCGTCACCGCCTCCGCCCACTGCCCACCGCCACCGCCCGACGCCGGCAGCACGAAAACGTCCAGCCATTTACCGATTGGCCCGGCTGTATGGAGGACGTTTTGGGTGGAGGAGAGAGGGGAGAGGAGGGCAGTGCGGTGATGTGTGGCGGGCGGTGTGAGGGCAGGGCCGTGGGCGGCACAAACAGCGCTACAGAGGCGGTGGGGAGAGGGAGGAGGAGGAGGAAAGGGAGGAAGTGCGCCGACCGCCTCCGCCTCTCGCTCGGCTGAGCTGACAAGGCTCCTGTGCCGCACCACTGCACTCATCCTGTGGCGGGAGCGGACCGCACAGCAGCCGCGCCGTCCGGGAGGGCCGGAGTCCGACCGCGAGCCGCACTACGGCGAACACCACCCGTCGCAACCATATCGCGCCGGGAGACAGCGAGAATTGTCCCAGCGACGCTGCTCAATCGCCGTCTGATCAGTCACATGGAAGCCAAATTAATTGTCCGACATAACTGCTGGCCGTGCTAACGGGTATTGTTGCGCCGATTAATTATCGGTTATCATAGAGGGTGTAAATGATGGCTGACGTTCATTGCCCAACCCTTACGCAAAGCTGCAGTCAATTAGGGTGATTGATAGACTCACGCTATGTGAGGTAAGTCTTATATAATCATGGCCGGGACGCCCCATTTGGCGCTACATCACAGGCGTTTCTCGTTGCTGATGAATATGAATACCTGACCGCAGCGCCAGCGTCTTATTTAGAAGCGAGCTATGCAGCGAGGAGAAGGGCCGAAGAATTATGCCGTTCCATAGAGTATTTTGCATCGTAAAGCCTTAGCACTGCACAAAAAAAGAAGCATGTATCGCTATCTGTGTTATTCCATCCTTAATCTTCAGAATAAGCTTTTCCTGGACTTGATTGGACGGGATTTGATCATTCAGTATCTGTGCAAGAGATCCGCAATAGAAGGGAACTATCTGGGAAGACCTTGATGTGCTCCATCAATGCTTTCCGCGGTCGCTGCTGAAGACGGCACAGGCCATATTGGAAGGCGGGTCGGCCAGCTTCATAGCGTTGAAGATCAGACAGGGCGAGTTTCATTGCAGCTTGTGCAAACAGCACTGGGCGAAAGTCGATGGGGCGCGTCTAATGGAGAGTGGCATCACGTTCCTAGGATTCGGGATGACCTCACTTTCATTGAGTCCGATTGGAGATTTGAGGTCCGCCACCTGCCCCCCCCCCCCCCCCCGATGCCATGGTGGCTGAGATCTTGTATCACCTAATTAGATAGAGTACGAGTATCTACGCACTATGCAATATGCAGACATTCAGATTCATCAGATTTAATAGCCAGATTTCTCAACGTTGGCCATAGAGCTTCAACCCGAGCTTTAACACTCCAGTATATCTGGCGACGGATGTTCACAGGCCAACCCAACCCAAGCCAATGAGCCGCCATGAACTTCTGCCTCGTGTGTTTTTATTTTATTGCTTTCGGTGAAATCATTGGTCTTCAGTGATGACGCTAGAGGCTTAGAATATAGACAAGGGGCCTAGACAGCCGGTACTATTATTATCGACTATGGCTTTCGTCGTTTAGACCAATTTAAGGCAACTATCGATTAGAAGGGCGCGTCCGCACCAGTGGTATCCCAGCGCGACATGATCTAACTCCGTGTCCCAGAAACTGACTGCCGATAAACTGCTGCACGCTATCGTTTTCTTTGAACAGCACGTGCTTTCCGGCATGCATTTAATGTTCATTTTATGGAGCTGCAACACATAAAGCGATTTGTAAATCCATGAATTATGTAGTTTATGACAAGACTATATCAGATGACGGACAGAGATACGTCGCGCTGCAAATGCGCGACGCCAGGTCTAGACTATCCAATATAATGCCGGAGGGTATCCATTTTCATCCGAAATAATAATCCAATAAACTGCACACAAAGTAGCCGCCTTGGTCGGCCCGCCGAGGTTTTCAGAGAGCGGAAATTAGCGGACGGTTGCGGGACGAGCCCGCCTCCCCCCTCACCGGCGCTTGGCCAGCGGTTCTGTGTCATATTGCGGCGCACCTCCGGGATGCCGGCTCTCAGTCGCCGCTTTGATGGCATTCCGAGCTCCGCCGGCCGGCCGGGTCCGGTATTCTCATCTCGGCTCGCAGACAGTTGACGGCTAGGGGAGTTCAGTCTCTCCTCTGCTCGAGTGTGGAAACAGTGATACACTTACTCGTGTTTTTCATCCGAGTGATACAGTTTTATTGTTCTTTTTTTTGCTGGGACTTTCTCAGCGCAATGGCCACGTCGTTGGCGTGAGACCTCTGAGCCTCAGTTGGTCTCTAACAGAGCTTACATAACATCCAGAACATCCTAAAATCAAATACCTAAGCGATGTGGCGATGCGATGGTATGGAAGGACTGATTCTGGAATAACTATGCTAGTGTACCATTGATGTCATTTTAATAAATGAGTGTGACCATTTCCATGTGCGGATTGGCCAGCTAGCCATTGTTGCGGAAGTTTCATATGTTTCGAATCTCGCACATCTGTATACTTTACCACCGCCTTCCACCTAGTTAAATTCCTTACCATCCCTGAATTATGTAGTAAGGTGAGCCGTGATCTGTCACAGCGTTTTATGCACTCCAACCTCCTGTGTACCGAGTGACGCGTATCATATTTGCACTTCTGAAGAACATTCTAGCCGTTTCAAACGCGTTGTTGTCTTTGACAATCTAGCTTGAAGCGTGTTTAGATCGCATTGCCAGGCCCACAGAGCGAGGCTTACCTGCATATTAGTCTAGTTGACTGTTTGGCACGAAAGCGAGTGGATGATTAATGAACTCGCCGATTAGCCTGAGCGCATCGGTGCCAACCACGAGCCGTATGTCACAACACTCTAATTATACCGCGGTGGGGACATGATTAAGAGGCCGTGATAGCTGTTGGATGTCCTCACTCTGCAGTCATTTATAGTTGATTAATGTGTGATCAAACGGAGCCGACCACATAAATGTCGTCTGTGGTGTTCGTATTGACCTGACTGGTGATACGGCTAACGGCTGACTATGTATAGTCGGCGGTGATCTACCTCCCGGCTAATAATTCCATTCCTGCTCTGTTTCAGAATATCGCTGACGCTGTCGTGCCCTATGGACCTGAAACTGTATCCGCTCGACAAACAGACGTGCTCGCTGAAAATGGCTAGCTGTGAGTACCTACTTACCCGGCGGCGAGACAGCGAGCGCGGCGACGTGGCGACTGAAATCTACCTGGGCGGGGTTCGCGGAAGCCGCGTGACCGGCACTGCTGAGTTAGGATTAACCAGAGAGGTGCTCTTAGTACTGGGGCTCGTTAAACTCTGCTCGGTCTCGGTGTATTGAAGTCCGTTGCCTCTTCTCTCGTGAGTCGGTCCTTGGAACTGGCTCGTCAGGGGAGCGGCGGCAGTACCGGTAAAGTTTGACGCTCAGCCCTCGGCGCTCAGTGCTCGTGGCTAGACGGTGGCAATTCGCTAGGGACATAAACTGCAATGAGCCCGGCTGTTGATGGCGCAACCATCCCTTTCAGACGCCTGGAAAACGGACGATCTGATATTCGTGTGGAAGGAGGGTGACCCGGTGCAGATTGACGACGGCCTCCACCTGCCGCGGTTCACGCTGGAAAAGTTCCAGACGGCCTACTGCAACAGCAAGACAAACACAGGTGAGACTGGACCGCGCCGACCGGGCGCGGCTCGTCAGCTCGGCCCCCGCCGGCCCGCCCGGCCGTGGCGTGTCGAGAATTATTAATGGTGCGCCAGAAAGTCGTGCGCCCAACAGGCCAAGATGAGCCCGTTTGGAGCATCATCAGTCGATGTCACCGTCTTTGAGTGCGGAGGACGGTAGGGAGGGAATGCTTTGTTATAAGGAGAGGGAAAGATGATAGCTTATTTTTCTCATTTTGAAGAGGAAGGCGAGTCGTGAGGATAGATTAACACAGGCGGAACGTGTACGGCTGAAGTTTCTCTAGCCTGAGGTATGAAGCCTGTGGAGGTTATGTCTGCAAGGAGCACCACCCCTGCGGCGGCGTCAATACCCGACGTTGGCCGGCTGTCGCCGCCGCCGCTGATGGCTGGCACCTGTCGACCCTATTGGAAACGACGGCAGCACGCCGCCTCCACCGCCGCCGCCGCCGTCCGAATTCTGCCCGCCCGAGTCATTATACGGAAGATGAATGGGCTTGTTTCGTAGTCGGGAGGTCGGGCCCAGCGCTCCGGGAAGTTTGCAACCGTATTGATCCCAAAGGCTTCAATTAGGCGTGGCTGCATCAAATCATGCCCGACGAACAAATTCACCACCAAACCGGTCTCTTTTGATGTCTTTTCTCTTGCATGCTCTGACTACGCTCAAGTGTAAAGTTTCAACAAAAGATTTCATTTATTTAGGCTTGATTACGATGATGCTCCAATAAGTAGATATCATTTGGTTCAAAGTTAAAGCTTACCGTCGTTTCATTTTATTTGTACGCGGCACCTACCTCATTCGAGTTCTATCAATAGCATTTAAATTCACATTTCCCGCAGCTTTATTACACCACGAATCAGGCTGTGTGATTCTGCTAAGTGCTAGCCGCCGTGACTTTGATATCGCCTTAGATCATAATCACCTTCTGGTGTTCATAACTGGCGTTTAATCACCGGACGTGGATTAGGGGCGGCTACAGAGAGCGCCGTCTCACATTAGACGCTGACGGAGAGCGCGAAGTGGTCGCTAGCGGGCCTGGTGGCGTTAGTGGCCACACTCGACGGACAGATCACGCTCGTTGGAAGTGGCATAAAGCGGACTCGTGATTAGTTAGTGGATCGGACTTGACCTGGCTGGGATTGGACATGACGATGAACAAACCTTAACTGGTCATACTGGGTCCATCGAGCATGTTCAGTGCTTTCTAACCAAAATCTGACCATCTGACCAAAATGGGATAGGTATAGGTTAAATATTGATGCAGTGCTCCTATTTTGAGTGCTTATTTAATTCTGTCATATCGATTTAATGCCACAAAAACTACACACTCATGCATAGGTACAAATGTGCTGAAGTTCGTATTACTAAAATAGAGCTGCCTAATGTATTCTAATGCTTCTCGAAGTTAAATATAGTTATGTGACAGCTTCCCGATATGTGACAGCTTTCCTTGCGAACACTTTGATGGCGTGTCTACTAATGTGATATCATGCCAAAGATTCTGTGCCTTTTATTGTCAATCGGGTCACGTCCGACAAGAGAGTCCTCAGTCGCTGCTCGATAATTGGATAACGCCCTAATGAATTCGATTGCACTTAGGTATTGTGTCGTGCCTGGGCAATTAACGAACGAGCGGACGCCGCCTTGCAAGTTGTATTGGCGTTCCCTGGCCTCAAAACAGGGAGCTGTTATCGTGCTGTCTTTCCAACTTTAATTGCTACTGACAGCTTCGGCAACTTTTATTCCATTGTCTTGACGTATTTGTGGGGCACTGATGGGTTTCTTTTCCAGGTTACGCGTTGTTTAGACCAGTTTCTTAGAGTAACAAATTAATGTACAGTTGTCCTTTATTGCTTTAAATGTAGCAAACACCGACAGTTATAAATGCTGTATGAGATTATCTTCTTCTTTGTGCTGTAGCGATGGTGGAGTGAACTAATCAGTGAAACATGTGATTCTTCCTTGCTACATGTTAAACATGTGGCAGGATTGTTTTGCTGGTTAAGCTATTTTGTTATGACAAAAATATACACCATTGACCTTAGAAAAGCCGTATTGTCGTCTGTCTTATTTTACGCTGGTGCCTGTGCCGTGACTGTGCGCTGCCGGTCTGTTCGCAGGCGAGTACAGCTGCCTGACGGTGGACCTGCTGTTCAAGCGCGAGTTCTCCTACTACCTGATCCAGATCTACGTGCCCTGCTGCATGCTGGTGATCGTGTCGTGGGTGTCGTTCTGGCTGGACCAGAACGCCGTGCCGGCGCGCGTCTCACTGGGCGTCACCACGCTGCTCACCATGGCCACCCAGACGTCCGGCATCAACGCCGCACTGCCGCCCGTCTCCTACACAAAGGCCATCGACGTGTGGACCGGCGTGTGTCTCATGTTTGTGTTCGGCGCCATGCTCGAGTTCGCGCTGGTCAACTACGCCAGCCGCTCGGACATGCACCGCGAGACGCTGAAGCGGGGTCGCGGCCGGCCGCCGCCGCCGCCCCCCGAGCACGACCACCAGCACACGTCGCTGGGCGAGCTGGGGGACCACGGCGACGACGGACAGACCGCCTACGCCATGGTGAGTGTCGGACGGCTCAGAGGGGGGGGGGGGCAGTGGGTGTTGAGGGGCATGGCGTGGAGTGGGAAAGGTCCGGATAACGCTCTGCATTGCGGACGATTTATGGACCCCTTTTGGTTATTCAGCTTCAACATGCATTCGCTGTTTTTGTACTGGCGGTGCTGCTCATCTATAAGCACTTTATTGCATCGTTCTAACCAATTTTCGCCCAACTGAAAAGAAGCTGGAGGTCTTTAATTTTATGCTGTATGCACTGGGGCACTTTACTGCTGGATTTGTGTTTCATCTACTTGCGCTTAAAGCAGCTCAGTGTGTAAGAGTACGCTGCGTCACATGCATTTAGAATTGGATTTACTTGACGCGGTAGCTATAAATCAGGCTGTTTCATCACAACACGGGGTAAACATATGTATATTCCGTTTTGTGTCATAGCAGTTGCGAAGAATGATGAACACACTGCCAGTTTACATAATGTATTTGAAGATTCTCTCCACGGTGTTATTTACATATTTAATCTCAGCATCACATACCACGTTAAATATTTGAGATTCTGTGTCTGTACTTTTGAAATCCAGACCCGGCAGTCTAGACAGAAAATCGGAGCAGCGACGTTTATTTCGTTCGTTGCCCTTTGTAATGCAGGGCTCTGATTATTTAGTTGAACTCAGTTAACCACGACGCATTGCTCTCCAGTTTGCTCAATGCTCACGTTATCGATAAGATGAATAACTTCGATTTAAAACCAATGAAGTGTCTTTCATGGCAAGACATTCGCCGCTCCGCAGGGAAAGTGTCGATCCAATAATGCGATAACGCGATAGTTGAGGCGAAAGACGAAGTTAGTTGGCAAGCATGACGGAAAATCATCACCGAGCAACTCATCTTAGGGTCTCATTAAAAGTTGCCGCCACCGGCCGCGTGTAACCGGTAAAGTTAGTATGACCCAAATAGGCCCGCTCCCAAGCGTACTATATACCGCGGAATTTCCACGATGTTCTGATGAGACGAGGCAAGTGATGGATCTCCACTCTTGTTTATGGAGTTGAAAACCGGGAGCACCAGGCGTGCGCTGCTCGACGCTCAACGACTCTGTTCGGTAGAGGTACTGTGAATTCACATGCACTTGCATATTGCATAGAGATGACTAGGGTAAAGATGCTGAACCTCTGGCTACTGTTTCCATATATAAGTTCTCCGTCGTCGTCCCCATACGCCGCTGTGCCTAGCCACCGTTGTGTCTCCAATGGTCATACATCTGCCATGAGCTGCTGCGTCCCTGATCGATAGGTGGCCGGCGCAGGCTGCCGTTCCCATTACCAGACCTGCCTCTCGTGTGGGTGCCGCATATATTTACCGTCATTGTTGGTGTGCATTGTGTGTGTAATGTCGGGAATATTGTGCAGAGGGCAGGTCAGGGGCGCATCGACCCGCCTATAGGAAGGTGGGCCCCAGGGAGTCGTGCGTCGGCCTGCTCTAACGGACCGTGGCATTGTGTTGGATGGGGAAGGGAGAGAGGTCGATACGCCGGCCAAGTGATAGAATAGGGCACTGGTGGCCGCTCCGAACTTCTGGGGACTCTGTAGTCTGTTGTGGGTCAGTTTGGTTTGTGATGGTCTGCAGTCGAGAGATCAGTCTGTGACGGCATTTGGACAGATTTAGGTGGTTCGCCGATACATATTTCAGCGGTCTGACTGCAGTCTTTCGACAGAATACAGACCTGTGTAATGTGTATAGTCTGTTGACCTCTCTCTAGACGAGTCTCGGCAGTCTGTATACGCACTGTGTCGATATCCCGGGTGCCCGGTGCGGCACACGTGTCTTCCCGACCTTCCCCGTCTCGGTGCCCCAATATCATCCAGCTCCGGCCGACCGACGATACCATCGGAGATGCGCTGATGACCGCGGTCTCATGGCGATGGCCAGGGCGCCCTTCGCTCATCGTGTAGAGCGGTACGGCTGGCCGGCCGGCCCCACAGCATATATGGACTGAGACATGTCTGCAGTAGACACTAGCAGCTACCGAAATGCCGAGGATGCATGAGCAAAGAAATGCGTATTACAAACGGATTGCAATGGTCAGCGAATAGGAAAAGGCGTTCGTAATACGCATTACTTGCTCATTTATTCGGGGCTAGTGTCCACTCGGCAACAAGCTTACGCAACACATTTTGTCGTTTTTTGTCCTCGTTTTTGTTGGCAGTGACGTCACGCTAATGGGCAGTTCGTTGCGTCATTGATTTACGCTAACACATTTCGTTACGTGTCGCGTTACGGCCGATAGCCGTCCCACCAAGTGGCTGAGTTCTTGTGGATACTCTTGTCATGGGCGGTATCACAATGCCGCAGACCGTTCCAAGTCCAGCTCAGTCGGTGCGAATCCTCGTCTGACGCCGGGCTGCAGACGCGATTGGATGCAGCATCTGAGTTCAAATAGTCCGTGACTGGACAGCACACGGTCGGCTCGCAGCTCTGGCTGACGTTAGCGAGCGCGCCCTCACGTGCTACCAAGGCGTTGAGAAACTCCAGACAGGTTACTTTGGGGCCGACACGTGTGAACTCCGCCGTCAGATGGGTGGGCTATTTTTGTCAGCTCTGAAAACCCTGAGTGGTGATAGCAGTGCTCGTTGTTGTAAAATGTGGCCGTGCCCGTGTGCCCAAAGCGCGTGTGTCTGCGACGACCGAGACCATGCTGGCGGAAGCCGTCCTTACTGGGACAGTCTGCAAGTACAGAGTTAGCGCACAAACAGCGCTAGCTCTGTCCGTGCTAGCGCTGTTTGTGCTTGCGTTCTCCGTGCTAGCGCTGTCCGCGCTGACCGAGACTGTGCTGGCTGTTGCCTGCGATCCGTGCGGGCTGTGTCCTTGTGTGATTGTCCGCGCCGACTGTGTCCGCTCTGGACTGTCCGCGCCGACTGTGTCCACTCTGCTCCAAGGCCGTGTCCACGTGTCCTCACTGGGCGGGCGGCGATCGGTCGTGTATCAGTCCGAGTGTCTCGAACGCCGATCCATCGTGGGACAGCCGGCGCGGCGGTCCGGCCATTGATTCGCACGTCCCTGGGGAGCCCGAGCGGCCAGAAGACTGTCCGAGAGACGTGAAATGATGGGGAGTGTCTGGGAGCCCCAGCACGCCAGAAGACTGTCCCAGAGACCTGAAATGATGGGGAGTGTTTGGGAGCCCGAGCGGCCAGAAATCTATCGGGGGCCTGGAATGATGAAGAGTGTCTGGGAGCCCGAGCCAGCAGAAGGATGTCTGGTCTGAGGAACCTGAAATGACGGGTGTCTGGGAGCCCGGGTGGACAGGAAACTTTCTGAGAGACCTGAAATGATGGAACTGTCTGCGAGACGCGGTGTGGCGAGAAGACTAGGAGACCCGGAATGGCCAGGGAGGAGATGGGAGGCAGTGAGGAAGACGAGAATGTAACGAGAATTTCTCAGGCACAGTAGCCAGTGAAGGCTGGCGAGGGGAAACGGAATGACCAGGTAATTGCGCTGGGAAACTCTTCGGGAGCTAATTTTATCATAATTAGGTGTATGTTTCTACTTTGTGTCTCCTGTGACACCCCAGGCGGTGAGCGTGGCTCTCCGGGCCTGCGCGGTGGTGAGAGCCTCCGTCACCGGCCCTCTCGGCACCTCTCCGCCGCCCACCACTCTTCCTCCGATACCCAGATGGGACCCGGTGGCCGGAAGCCGCCATTCTGGCCGGTCTGGCAGTCGCCGGCGGTGACGTCACTCGTCCGTGTGATGACGTCATCACAGGGAGGCTGACCTGGCGGCGATCGGTGGAGAAAGAGGCGACAGGGACAGCTGAGATGACGCGAGTGTAATGGGGGCTTTTTGCTGGTGATGGGGAGCGCGGCAGTAAAAAATGAAAGAAACAAAAATGAGATGATTGCTTCGGGAGTGCTTTGGTGCGTGCGTCTAAGGAAAAGGTGAAAACCCCTTGATCGTGAGAAGTTCCAATGACCCATCCGGCGGCGCTCGGGTCTGTCTCCGGGGGGGGGGGGGGCGTCGGGCCGCTCCCGGCCGGTCCATCAGAGCCGCGGCCCGATCGTTGCACAGAGATCCGCGCACCATTATGGCTGCGGTCGGCCAAACAATCATCGTTCCCGGCGGCCACTGAGCTGTTAGCGGCGCCGATAGCGCCCACCTAGCCGCCCCCGAACCCACCAGGCCGCGGCCCGGGGTTCCCCTTCTCTTTCCCTCCCTCCCTCTCTCCCTCTCTCTCTCTCTCTCTCTCTCTCTCTCTCTCTCTCTCTCTCTCTCTCTCCTCCCTGCCTCTCCTCCCTGCCCCGGCGCGGCGGGAGGTCAGCCAGTCGCTAACCAATTATTTCAGCCGGATACCACGTGGCTAAATTCAACGGGGCATAGCAGAGCTTGAATTATGTCTCAAATGGAATGGTTACTATGTGGAGAATTGGGAACTTATATTATGGGATAATGTGGTATGTAATTCATCTCATCAATATGTGATTGGTGGATGATTGCTGATAGCGTTTTCGGAATTTTGCCTGAACCTTTTCTCTTGATTTCTTTTACTTTTCCTATTAAATTATGTAAGGAGATACATTTTTCATGGTCGATAACGGAGCAGTAAGACGCGGCTCGTTTTTCGGTCTCTGCCCGGGCTGGGACTCGCTGGGGACCAGTTACTCGGTCGTGCCCGCCCTCCGGCCGGCAGTCGAGCGTCGCTTCCTCGGCGATCGCCGTCCGGGGAGCGCCGCCGACCGTGGCTTCCGATCGAGTTTTTTCACAGGCCTGATTGGGCGCTGGCTTTTTCCTGCCTGACTATCGTCCTCACGTGACGCTTTCCCAGGGCGAGTAACAAAAAATACAGGGAAGGATTAGGGAAGGTTTTGTACGCGCGTCTTGAGACAAAGAGCCACCTGTACGAAAGAATAAAAAATTCTGGTGAGAAGGAACTCCGTAGTGTGCTGGACTTTCTGGAGGTGCAGCTTTTCAACTTGCTTGGCGCGATGCTTTGGTGTTTATTTTTTAAGTTGACTTTTGTCACGAACCGTGTCAGACTCGTCAGAGAGCCGGCTGGCGGCGTTGGGCTGCCTTTGACTGAGAACTCAGCTCTGTGACGGCAGCGTGGGCCGTAAGGCGCCGGTCGTGAGGAGCCGCCGCCACTGCGAGTGGTCACGACGAGTCGCCGGGGCACGCACTGGCCGCCAGCGCGTCATCCCAGCGGCCGGCCCGGCGACCCTGCCAGTGCCGACCCAGACCGGTTCGCCTGACCGCGGCGGGTCTTCGTGGGGGCCTGGTTAGGGTCATTTCCTGAAGTTCACTTATTATAAGACGTTTCGAAACAGCATTATTGTGGTTTTGGAAGTGGACAACTATTCATCGTTTAATGGGAAATATTTCTGGCGTCCAACTCCACACATTGCCATTTTTATGCTTGTGGATGATAGTTTACCTATTTCCTGTTCCGTAAATCATACAACTCACTATACATTTAACTACCTATATGACCTCTTTCGAGGATTATTTTCTCATTCCTCGTTTTAAGTATGCATCAGCAATGGCTGATCGCCAGCAGTCTTTCCTAGCAGGAAGCTGCAGAATAATTTGAACTGAACGAGCGTGTTCCTGACAGGTTCCGTTGCATTCTAGTGGCGTTCGAGATAGTCTGCCTGAGACTGACTCAAGAGTCGGACATTCGTTCAAAAGTTTATGCCGATGCTGCATCCGGGTTTGAGCCTTTGTTCCTCGCGAACTGCTTTTTGCAAAACAAACTCAGCCACGCCATGTAACGTCATACTATCTCATACTAACTCATGACACACAATCTCGTCTGTGAAAGCTGAACCGTCTCATCTGGGGAAACGATGCATTTCAGCGCTCATGTGGATTGATACATGTGCAGCTGCTGACCGGGAACGAGTTATCTCGTCATATCGATGCCATTTGTTTCCGGACTAGTTTTGAGTTGGAGAGAGTACAAGAGTCGCCCGCGATATCAGCTCCAACTGTCTGGTCTGCCGGGGCTCTCAAGGAGTTCGGTCCGCACCGCACTGCATGTCTTGGTCTCGCGGATACTCGCCATAAAACACGTTTACGGCCGTGCCAAACTCGATTGAATGTCCCGACGTGGTAGGATGAAATCGGCGCGCAGTGCTGGGGGTATGACGTTGTCTGACAGAGTTTGCGACTCTGCATGTCCACTGTTTACACACTGCTGGCTGATGACGTTTTATGGTCCTACAGCCGGCTACTGGCTGAGGTTGTTCCATATCTAAGTTGCCGGCTAAAGCTACTGTGGATCTGTATTTCTGACCGAGACTGGTGGATCTTTCTACCGCCTGCTGAGGTCGTTGAAACTCTTTACAATCGTCGCAGCTGTACACTATTCGCCACGGAGGCTCTTCTGGTGGCGTCTGCTGATGCTGCCTGGCTCGCCAAATGATTCGGTTTTATGAACTGTGGGCCAGCGGTATCGCAGCTGATTGCACCTTTGTATACCGTCTACCGATCTAACTCGCCTGGTGGTGCTGTCACGGCAGAAACCGCACCACCGCGGCAGCGCAACTCGACCCGGTGATTCCCGTATACCACCGGGAGGAAGCGCCTTCCCCTCTCGCCCCTCCCGGGTCCCCCAGTCCGGTGATTGCAGGAGTACGCCAACGGGCTGTGCCGCTTCCCGTGGCCCGGCCCAGGATAGTCAGACGGGCGCGCGTATGCATACTAATGGGACGGCCGGCCGTCGGCAGTATGCACGCCGCCGGCCGGCCCCGCGGCGGTCCCGGCGCCGAGTGACGAACGGCTGCCGGCAGCGGCGCCCTCCGCCCACTAATGAACAGCGCCTCCACACACATAGGGGCGCATACCGGCTTACTACGTCGATAGTTCAAAATATTATACTCAACGAATTATTTTCACTATCGCCTTGCTGCTGCTTAGCGTGTCGGAATTAGAGATTGGTCAAAGGTGAACAAATAATTTGACCCTCGTCTCTTGCTATGCATTTAGGCTGTTCTGCAATTTGTTCTACAATCTGGATCCAATAGTGACTAAAACTTTCCCGCCATTCGTAATCTTGAGATCCTTAGAAGAGCTCTCCAATTGCGACTGGATGGCTCACAGCATAAGTGGCTCAATCGCTGCCAACTGCAACCTTGAGCGGCCCGGATCTATCGTGCCACCTCCTCTCTCCTCTCTCTTCTTTCTCATACTCCTATTTGTATACACTGTGACTCACCCCTTCTCTCCTTCGTTTTCTCCACCTCTCTTTCTCTTGTCTCTCATCCTCTCTCCCATCTCTGGTTTTGATTCCATCCTATCAGACCGTTCACCATGCCGATGTATTGCGGGCGGTCAGGTCAGCCTCAAACCGCCGTCAGTCGAAGCTGTCCGTCCGTCTGTCCGTCCTCCTTTCGCGTCACGACGAGCCCCGCAGCCGCAAGGGAGCAGTGCCACCCGTGCATATTACATCGGAATTGCACGGCTTCATCCTAGTCTGGAGCGCTTCGAGCGCGCGTTGGAGCTTAGCGGCGGACTTTGATGGTCGGGAGCTGGCGAGTGGTGCTGGCACGCTCGGCTGCTGCCGGCATCACCAGTCCAGTGTGGAGAGGGGTCTGTTCAGACCAAGTTCAGACTCCTAATGACGACTGCTGACAGCCCAGTCCTGTGCAGTGTCGGGGGCAGTCTGGGCTTCCGATGCGTGCAGTGCGTTGAATTTGAGCGTGTGCTCCCCCTAAGTTCCTTGTCGCAGACAGACATGAAGTTTTTTTTCTGCAGAATTGCGCACAGAAAGTTTTGGTAGGATCAGCTTCTTTTTGAAGTCTAACATGGGTAATTTAAAAATGAAAAGAAGTCCTTTGAACTGAGAATTCAAGCATTGCTTGTGTTCTTTTCAACGATGCTTATCAGTGCTACAAAGCATTTATTACTCTCATTTTAAGTCAACACCAAGCGCTGAGTAGGTATATGTTCCGAGGATAGGCCGGTTTATGCCTGACCCCACGGCCATTCAGCTGGCCCTCATGTCTGTCCGCTCTGTATTGGTCGTTAGTACTGGTACTGCCGTGGGTGCTGAACGGTGCTTGGAACTTCTGTGGTCGTAAGGCTCGCCCTGTTGTCCAACGTTGACGGAAATGGATTGCTTCTAAATGCGCTCATACGGGATTCATATCCTTTTTGGGGTGGTTTTTATATGGAGTGTGGAGACAGACAATGGATGCACGCAAATAATCGAATGATGTTCAACATATGAAAGCCATTGGTAGTAGTTATAAGTTATAACAGATGTTACACATTCCTCAAATCTACATGTTTACTTCTGACTTTGTTGTCCATTCGGTCAATCTCGGAACCCGTGCGCGACGGCGCTCGGGCGGCTTTCCTGAGTTGGTAGGCTGTTCCGCATAGCGTGCCTGTCAGGCGGCGCAGCCTAACTCGCAGTGGACCAAACCGGAGTAAAGGAGACGCTTTCTCGATGGAAGTTGGAACGTGGTATGAGATCATAAGCTGTGGGAAACTGGAGGAGCATAATGAGGAATTGCTCTTTTTTTTGCCTTTTACTAATTTCAAAAACTTTTTTTCTTTAAACTGGTATGTCTTCAAATTCCATAGATCATGTAAACGTGAAGCGATGAGCAGCAGTAGGTAGGTAACTCGGGACACTTGTCGGCTGGCTAGTCTCCGCCGAGGTCCGCTGTCGGGGTCACGTCGACAGCAGCTTAACTGGCAGTTTGCAGACCATCGAGACAGCGGCGCTCTCCAGCGGCGGGCTTATCGTGGGCCGCCCAAACCTAACTAGATTGCCCGACTCTCCCGAGACTCCGCCGTGTCGAATTGGACGGAAAGTGATTTCACGGTGTGCGAACTGGAGTCGCTTTCGTACCTCCTAAATCCGTCGGCTCAGTGTCTGACGCGGCCGGCGGCGGCCGCTCGGTGCAATTCTCGCCGTGTGAGACGGTGCCGGCCGGCTCGGTGGCTGTCTGGCCGGAACTGCTGGATCGCAGCCGAGGCGGTGATCTATGTGTACGTACGTGTAGTGCGTACACTTACTGTGTAAGCTGAGCTTGGAGTGGTGTACCGTTTCTCTTAGAGAAGCTGGTAGAAGTGTCGACATTTTAGTCATTTCGACTCCTTGTTGTTCTGTTGTGAAGTGTCCAACGACAAAGTCCACCATAAATTGCTACGCTGTACGCTTGTATAAGCGCAGAGACAGCACTTTGAGTGTCTGGTCCTGCATGTGGGTTCGTTTTCACCGACCTGACCCGACCTGACCTGACGTATCTTGTTTGTTTCAGCGGCCACTGGTGCACCGCGCCGACCGTGGCAACAGCGGCGGTTTCGACAAGAGTCGTCAGTGTGAGATTCACATGCAGGTCGGCGGCGGCCACAAGGGCTGCTGCCGCAGCTGGCTATCCAAGTGAGTGCGTGCGGCGGGGTCGAGCGGGCCTGGATGTCAGGACAGGGGTGAGTAGAGACTGAACTGTCTGACCGAACGTCAACTGGGTGGGACGCGATCGGTATGGGAGTGGCTCGGCAAGGCATCTGGCTTTCTGAAAAAAGAAATACTGTAATCCGTGTTGTGTCAAAACCTTCTCAGCTAAACAAGTGGAAAATGATATTCAATCCTTCTAATCCGACCCTGTCTCAGGTTGGTGTGCCCGCTCTTACCGCTATCACGAGTCTATTGGATAACAGTCAGCACCCGGGGACCAGACGTATTTGACAGAGCCATTATCTTCGCCGTCCAGATTGTTCCCGGCAGATTTAGCCAATCACATCATCGGATCCTTTAAGCGTCTTGGGCGGGCGAATTTCTCCGAACGATACCCGTCCGATTGCTTTATAATGCATTGGATGTCGGCGTCACTGGCCCTCCATCTGCCGCTACCCGCGGATTGTGGCCGGCCACCACTGCTCGCAGATGTACACTGACCGACAGAGGTCCGTTCACGTCGCACAATCGTCCGATTCCGATATTGCTTCCGGAGCACCCTGTAAACTCAGTTTATGACGTGGAGTGTGGCAGTTTTGCTGCGTTCGAAACACATGGTTCAACAAAAGCTCGTAACGTTTCTCGGATTCTTCAGATTTAGAGGGCCTGCTGGGCCTTCTTTTCTCTGGCGATTTATCAACAGAGGAGCTATTGACTCGGAGCTCGGCTATTCGTTGGCTCAGTTGGGTGGAGGCGACTAGTCATTTTATTAGGGATTTCGTTTCGGGCGCGGAAGTTTTAGCAAGCTAGTAAGCGGGGCTGCTGGCGTCCTGAAGAAATTAACGCTGCGCCGGCGGGCGCGTAGGACGTCCTCTCAATATAACGCGCACCTCCTCAACCCGCTGGAGCTGAATGCCTCGTCGGGATTACTTCTGCTATATCATGCAAATGAATATTTCGGAATGCTTCTCAGCTACTCAGGATAAAGAGAGCCTAGCGTCCTACGCACAAACTGCTATGCAGTTTGATGTACCTATAGTGTTAGCACCGGCGGCTGCAGGCCGGGCCGCCCGGACCACCGAGCGGGCCATGTGGCGGCCGGCCGACCACGTGGCGCCTGGGGCTATGCCGGCACTGAGCTGGCCCCATAGCAAGCAGCCCGGTGATTGGCTGCTTGGGCTCCTGCCCTCGGGGCGCATGCGAGGTGACCTCGGGTCAGCGCGCGGTTGTTGAGGGTAGTTCGTTCTGGATGCTCGGCGGGGAAGTGCTCGCTGTGTGGGTGGAAGTGGTGCTCTGGCTGTGGTGTGGTGGTGGTGCACAATACAGCAAGTGAAAATATCTTAACTGGTGTGGAGAGGAGCTGGACCAGTGGAAAAGGGGACGGGACAGTGAACAGCAGCGAGTCTTCATAGCGTGCGAGTAGCCGATCATTTCCTTTCATCCGGGACTCATAACACGGCCTCTTCCGGGGTGTGTGAGGGAGGCGGCCACAGTGTCTCGCCATCGAGTCACTGAGCTTAAACTCGTTCCCCGGGTCTTGCCATCGAGGCTCGGGTGCGGGGTCTCCGCTCAGACAGGGGTGCGACCAGTCGGCTCCGGCTAACCTTGCCATCGAGGCGCCGGAGTATCGGTTGATCTGTCCGATTACAGTGGTCTCGCCATCGAGAGGCTGGAATCGGGCAGCGGCTGGCGTCTTCCTCACCATCCTGATCTACCCATCGCTCTCCTACAGTCCTTGTCTATCATCCGGCTAAATAAGTGTCGTTGGCGTGTGAAATACCAGAGGACACGTGGCGACATTTCTGGTCCTCCGCGGGCCGGATTGCGACCAGTGAGCTGAACAGGAGAAGATGGGGATAGAAAAAGAAGAGGCAAAGGATGTCAAACGGCCCGATCCCACTGCAGATGGAGCTTTTAAGGATGTTAGAGATCAAGAGCTTGCTGGTCTGCGACGACTGCGTGGTATCAAGAGGGCTGTCGTGACGAGGGTGTCCAAGGTGTTAGAGGCAGAGATAGCAAGACATCGGAACCGCGATTGTATCCAGGAAGTAAACGGAAGGCTGAAAGAAGCTTTTTCTGATTTGAGAAAAGTTCATCAGGAGTATGAAACCAAACTCAATGACGCAGAACTGGAGGAAGCTCAGGGATACGCTGATAATCTTGAAGAAGAAGAGTCGGCTATTCGGGGGAAGATCCAGCTGTACCTTCAAGAGTTGGATGAAGCCAAGTCATCAGCTGCCACTTCCCGTCACACTCGAAGTCGTGCCAAGTCACACACGTCAGCAGGCACCGCAGTTTCAGTTCGATCCAGAGAGGCTGCTGTGGAACTGGAGGACGCTGATCGCAAGCTGCGGGACCTCCAAGCTCAAATGGAAGAGAGTCGTCGGAACATGAAAGAGAGACAGGAATTAGATGAACGCGACAGGGTGCTACAGCTCAGAATAGCTGAAGAGGCCCGCGACAGAGCTGCTCGGAAGGTGCACATGTATCAGGCTGCGGAAGACGAATTGAACTGGGATCGTCGGCATGATTTCGACGAAGCAGCTGTCAAAGGAAGAAAGGCATCTGCTGAAGGTGCGGGGGTGGATCAAGCTGCCGAACCACCGCATCGCTCGAGCGTACCCGACTATGTGCCTGGTCCAAGACCACAAGGACCTAAAGCTGCTCCGGAAGTGGAGGTGGATGGTTCATCTCTGAACCCAGACAACTGGACATCAAACAGCAAAGGGCAGGAGAAGCACGGGCATCCACCTCCTGGGATGTCAGCTTTTACCAACAGTGTTCCACGTCTTAATTTACCGCGGTTCACAGGCGAACCAAGTGAGTGGCCGCGCTGGATCAGTCTCTTCAGAGCACTGGTTCACGATCAGGCATCTCTCTCTGACACGGAGCGGATGGCGCATCTACAGCAAGCAGTAGATGGAGTCGCCCATCAAGCCATCGAGGGATTCTTGTTCGATGGCAAGATGTATCACCAGGCGTTGGCAAGGCTGCACGAGCGTTTCGGTCGAGAAGGCGACATCAGTCAAGCATATCTCAGTTCCATGTTTGCGACCCCAGCTCCTTCAATCAACAACATCGCCTCAGTGGAGAGGTTCAGTTCAGCTGTCAGCAACACTGTGCTGACGCTGCGCGCTCTGAACCACTACAATGATCTGAGAGCCATCGAGAATCTGCGTCGAGTGGTATTGAAGCTTCCTGCGGAGTTGTCCTACCAGTGGGGACGAGAAGTGCATCAGATGCATCCCAAGCAGCCCGATCTGGAGATCTTCAGCAAGTGGCTGGAGACAGAGACTGCCATCTTGAGAAACTCGGCCAACCATAACCGCGATCCAGAAAGAAAAAGGCCATCCACGAGTGCACGGGAGACCTCGGCGCGACGAACAACTCTGACTACGTCGGCCACGTCTTCCCAGACGGAAAACAACCGACGTCGCTGGTTCTGTGTCCTGTGCAAGGAACAGCACAAGCTTCAGGATTGCACGGAGTTCAAGTCGAAGACGGTGGAGGAGAGGCTGGTCGTAGTGAGCAAAGAACGGCTGTGTTGGGGCTGCCTGAACAAGGGTCACTTCATGAGGGATTGCCGCTCTGCAAGACGATGCAACTTGAATGGATGTAATGCATCTCATCACCGACTCATACATGTGGACAGAAGCGCCGCTTGTAATGAAGAAAGCCAAACAGAACCAAAAACAGTGACACGAGAAGGAAGTCGCATCGTCGGCACGGCTCTCACAGAGACGACAGACACACTGCTGCAGTTGGTGCCGGTGCGGATTCACGGCCCAAACGGGGAGAGAGACGTAGTAGCACTGCTGGACCCGGGAGCGCAGACATCGCTCTGCTGTGAAGATGTCTTGGAAGAGGTTGGGGTCCCTGGAGTCCGAGAGAATCTGCAGCTACAGAACATCGAAGGAAGCGGTACCAGACAGTCGTCTCTTCGAGTTCAGCTGACGGTTAGTCCTCTGAGCACAGCGACCAGCAGAAATCGAATCGTCGTGCCCGAGGTGTGGTCTGTGCCAAGGTTGAACGTGGCCCCACCCAGCATGAGTAGCAAGCAGCTTCGCAGCTGGAAGCACTTGCAGGACCTGGACCTACAGCAGTACAACGGCGCACACGTCGAGCTTCTACTTGGTGCCAACATTCTGGAAGCTGTGCTGCAGCGAGAGGTCAGGGTGGGAGGCCCCGGAATGCCCGTCGCTATCCGGACAGACTTTGGCTGGACCCTGACGGGATCGATATCCACCCTGATTCCAAGCACAATGCGGCAAGTCATGTTCGTGCGTCAACGTGCTCCCGAAGACGCTCTGGAGGGTCTGCAAGAGTTGGTCCAAGACTGGTGGACGACCGAGGCCTTCGGCACCATGATCAACAGCTCTGATGCACGATCTCAAGAAGATCTCAGAGCTATGCGAATCTTGGATCAGCAGACCAGGAAGGTGGGGGACAGATATGAAGCTGGACTTCTGTGGGGTGAAGACGAACCGATGTTGCCGGACAACTGGAACCAAGCGTACCGACGTCTTCAGTCCATCGAGAGAAAACTCGACAAGCAGCCAGAACTGGCTACAAGGTACCAAGCCATCATCGACGGATGTGTGAAGGATGGTCACGCAAGGAAGCTCTCAGCAGAAGAAGCGGACGAACCGAAGGAGAAGCGTTGGTATCTGCCACACCACGCAGTAGTGAACCCGAACAAGCCAGGAAAGCTGAGAATCGTCTTCGACGCTGCGGCAACATACCAAGGTGTATCACTGAACTCGAAGCTCGTCACAGGTCCAGATCTACTACAAAGCCTTCCTGGGGTGATCATGCGCTTCAGGGAAGGTCTGATCGCTGTGACAGCGGACATCAAGCAGATGTATCATCAGGTGAGGATCAGGACAGAAGACCAGCCTGCATCGAGCTTTCTATGGCGAGATATGGAGCGACACCGCAAGCCTGACGTCTATCAGATGGAGGTGGTCATCTTTGGCGCGAAGTCA